ATAACAGGTAAGGTATTTTTAAAATAGATTTGGTACCTGACAAAGAAGCTGTCTATGAGCACATTCAGAATAGCATATTTCCATAGCACTTTAGACCCATAATTCAGGATGTCTCTAGCCATGCAGGTACCTTTCACTCTAAAAGGTGACTCTTTTTCTTCAGATTCAAAAATGCAAGCAAAATCCTTCTCTGGTCGTGCACAGGTGCAGTAGTTACACATCATTTTGTGATCCACAATAGACATCTCCTTCCGAGTGCTCTCGAGTGCCTAAATAGGCACAGTTATTCCAGCTGATGGGTTTTACCCCTAAAAAAAGATGTATTTTGTAAGTGTTTTTGCCTTCTTCCTCTAGTCCAGCAGCATCCTGCCTAAAAAGGGCTGTGTTGAACACCCAGGCTAATGTCTCAATCACTGGCAGTGTCACCCATAACTGTCAGGATTTCCATTCCACTCCTTAGACTACTGAACAAGATACAGGAGATAAAATTGACCAAAAGGTTTTCAAGTAAGAAACCTGATGACCTTGTGGAGAGAAATTGTCCTGTATCTAAGCTCTCCTGTGTTGGCCGGGGCAGAGGATTAAATCCAGCCAGATGTGATGGTTCTCAACAGCAATTGTGTATCAACAGTGCTTGTGCTCAGAGTTTGCTTTTCAACTGTAAAATGGGTGGAAGGGACTTTACACATCTTTGTGGGCAAAATGACCTGCTTAGGGGAGCAGTGGGTTCTCCTGTGCTGGAAATACTCCATACATGACAGAATCCTGAATAATCTAACCTAAAGTCTAGCCTTGAATAGAAAGTTGAACCAAGATGATGCTGATCCCTTCCAGCCTGGACTTTTATATGATTCTGCAGACCAGTGGGATATCAGAATAACCTGCTTATAAATAGTTGTAGCAGCCTCCTACAGCTCTGGCCTTCTTTCCCAGGGAGCTGGTATGGGATAAGAGAATGATCTGCTGTCTTAAGTTACATTTACTTCCAAAATACTTGGTTGTCTCCTATGGCTTGCAATGCTCCTTGGAAGAAGAGCAGCAACAGAAGGAGGAGACATTTTCGTGCTTTACGTGTTTGTGTAGCCACAAGCACTGCAACATTTTAGCTCCCATAAGTCCTGGTTATGTGCTGGCATTCTTCCTCTTCCCATCCTTCAACCCTTATTCTCTGTCCCCAGTTCTGAGCTGGGAAAGATCTATTTTTATGAGCTGAATTTAAAGGGAAAAAGCAAAGTTGCAACATGCCTGAAAGTTCAGGAAATAAAGTCACATTAAGTTGCCAACTCTTTTTTTCGTCCTTGAGCTTTGTCCCCAGACCTCAGTGCTGTCCCTCAGCACAGGGCTATCCTAGTGCAGCGTGTGCTAAGCCTGTGGGGTGTCACTGTGGCATTGGGATTTCCAATTTTTGTTGTGTTTGAAATACAAATCCCATGCTGTAATTTTGTCGTTACAGAAAGACTGACCACGGTAGTTATTTTCCTTACTTGTTTTTTAAAGAAATTCTGTGTATTTTTCAGTCTTTAACTGTGAAACCTCAGGCAGAATATTAACTTATAACTACACATAATCAAGTCTTACTTTTTGAGCCTACTCCCACTTTGGAGTAGAAGCTCCGTTGCTAGAGGCGATGACAAATCGAAGGGCAGAGGCACCAGAACAAATGCACATCTGTCACTAAAGGACACAAGTCTCCTTGAAAATGTTTGCATCCCAAGTGTCTAGACAGTAAAAGTAGTTACTGGGATTTCCTGTCCCTAGAGAGTTGTTGCAAAGTGGTACCCAGGGAGAATGCTTGTTTTACAGACCTCTAAAGGGTGATATGTTCCAAGATGAGATCCATTCAACAAGCCTTCCAGCCAAATCAGGAGATCAATGTTAGGCTGCTCATACCATAATTGTGTAAAGGAGCTCACAGCTTTTCTTCCAGCAGAAAACTTTATGTGCTGGTTGCTGTGTTGGCTCACTGGTAAAGCAGGGCACGTTATCTGTGCCCTCCTCTGGGGAGCATCGCCACGTCACCTTTCTGTTCTGAAGAAATTTCCAGTGCTTCATAATTCACACCATTGGGAATCAAGGGGAGAAAGCAATGGGTGGCAAATGATTCTTCAGGGCTGCTCTGGTGGTGCACAAGCTGGCATGGGGCTTGAGAGTCCAGTTAAGTGGTGGAATAATGTGAGACAGAAGTGAAGAAATGTTGTTGCTGGAGGGAAGTCAGAACCAGTGAGCTTGGCCACAGAGTAAAATTAGAATAGCATTTGTAACTGATCAGTAGCAAGATAGGGGAGGAGAGGGAAGAGAATAGGACAGAAGAAAGGGGCATCTCATCTCCTGTATGGCTGTTGGCAAAGCTTTCAGCATGGCCTTTTGCAATAGCACAAGGGTAATGGTTTTAAACCAGAAGAGGGTAGATTTAGATAAAATATAAGGAAAACGGTTTTTTACAATAAAGGTGGTAAAACAACACAACAGGTTGTGGTGCCTGGGCAATGAGGTGGTGGATGACCCATCTCTGAAACTGCTCAAGACCAGGTTGGATGGGGCTCTGAAGAACCTGATCTAGTTGAAGATGTTCTTGCTCACTTCAGGGGGATTGTACTAGACAGTCTTTAAGGTCCCTGCCACCTAAACCGTTCTAGGATTCTGTGATAAATGGAGATGTAACTGGAGCAATTGTTTCCCTATCTTGATACAGTTTTCGTCACTGTGGGGTATCGGGCTGCTAACTCAGGGTGAATAGGCTTTTTGTGGTGGGACAGAAAGCAAGACTGTGTGAGTCTGTTACAGATTTTAACAGGGTAATTTGAAGGCAGGCAGGCTAAGACTTTGATCTAGCTCTTTTCATTTTTAATCCATTTGCAGAATCCATGTAAGCCGAGCTGTGAAAATGGAACATAGTTTGGTTCTGCTTTGTGTTGCACACCTCAACTGTGCATCTGTCTCCAAAATGCTGGCACTGTCTGAAGTGCAGGTCCCACAGGAAAAAATATTTGGAGTGCCACTTCCACAAAAGATGCTCATCTTAACCCATCCTCCAGTTTTTTTCCTCATCACTTGGTTTTGTAGTATATTTCACATAGATTTTTAATTTAAACATTAAGCAATATTCTGGTGCTTTATTGGGAGTTTCTGTACTCTTTTAATCAGTAGCTTTATTCAAAGTCAGCAAGACTTCTCACACGTGCCACAGTTAAGCCTGTGCTCAGCATAACTAGCAGCTGCCTGAGAGGGAGCTGACTTGCTGGACTGTGGCATTTGTGATCTGAGCCTTGCCTTCAGAGGATGCTGTGCTTTGGGAAGTCACTCATTTCCAGCCCAGTCTGGTGCTCAGGCTTTAAGAAGTAGAGAAATGGGCTTGCACTTGTTTGAGCTGATTATGAGCCACTAGCCAGGCTTTACTGGGGGCTACCAGGCCTGTCTGGGTGTCTTCTGTGCTGACCTTGTTAGGGCCATCGGGGCACACCAAATGGAGTCCTTGCCAGGCAGGCACATTAACGAATGGCTAGTCTTAATTTGCCCTTTAAAAATGAAGAAATCAATATGTTGATCCAGTTGGAAATCCCTTTATTCACAAAACAGTCTACCCCAAACCTCTCCACATAATTAAGGCTAAAGCCAAATTTTGTTTGGGTAAAATGCACAATCCGTCTGCTCCCTAAGCTGTGCTGAATGAAGTTCTCCCCTAATGGTGAAGGGAGCAGCTGTCACGCTGTTGCTCTAATAACCATGAGACAAAATGATTAAATTTCCATCAATCATTTAGCATTATCAGAATAGGTCATTCTAATAAATTGTTATCAGAGGATCAGTGCCTGGCACCTTAGACAGGAGATAGTCTTTGAGTGATCCTCCTTGCAGGAGGTGCTCATCCTGGTTAAACCAGCAGTTCCACTAAATTCACCATTTTTCATGAGGGTGCCTGCTAGCAGGGTCTTTTGAAAGTAAAGACATTCCTGTAATCAACTCAATGGCTTTTTGGTTTCAGCCAGTGTCCCCTTGTTCCCACACTGTATAAAAAAATCATAAATCTTTCACCCTAGGGAAAATCTTCAAAATATAGTAAGTGGTGTGAGGGGACTAAATAATTTTTCAGAAGCCATTTCAGAGCCAGAAGCTACATGCTCAGCGACACAGAAGTCTACCAAGTGGACTTACTGAAAACGTGAAAGGATTTCATGGGAATATTTAAATGTACATGCTTTTCAAAACCCCATGTGGGTGCCTGCCTATGTCTTTAAGCCAGAGTACCTTTAAAACTCTGTCCCCTTGGTCCCCTTGGTTGAAATGTTCTCAGTGTTTTACCTACTTACCATGTTTCTTCACAGTCATCTCCATGCTGTATCCAATGTGTCTTCCCCATGCTTCTCTCTGCAGAGGAATTTCTTGGCTACAGAATAAGATAGACCCTAACCCAGTTTTTAAAACCAGCTGGACCCTGTCTGTTGCTGGTATGTTGTGTGAGCAGGAAAATGGAAAACTCCAAAGTCCACACTGAAATTTGTGGCTCCTTACTGTTTGTCTTGAGCATCCTCTTCATCTGTCCTTCAAGGGTGATGGTGGATGTCAAACATTTAGAGAAGATTTATTCAGCTCTTTGGTGATGCTGAGAAAAGGTGATAGTGAAAAATGAAGAAAAGCTGGAAGATGCTTCATTGCTTCTACCTGGAAATATGCTTAACAAATAGACAGTGCACTGGGTTTCTGTAAATCAGACTTGACCATCATTTTTCATCAGAGAGAGGGTTTTTTCTGTCCTGTTTGAGAGCAGCTAAGCCATCAAAGAAACACGTGAACCTTGACAAGGGAAAAGTATTTTCAGGTAGGGTCATCTCATTCCTTGCTATATGTTTGAAGCTCCTGGGTGCAAACACACCTGAATTGCTCTTCAGTGTAAGCTGTTGTTTTGTTTGGAGGTTTGCTTGGTTGCCTTTTTTGTTGTGTTTGCGGGGGTTTTTTTCCTACATGCAGTAATCTCACTGTCTTTTCTTCTTTTTCTTCTCCAGGCCCTCAAACTGACACGAGATGTAGAGAGAGAACCCTTTGCCAAATCTGCTGTCAGCAAGTGGACAGTGATACTGTTTACAGCTTACGACCTTTGTGAACCCTGCATTATTTTCCTAATGAAGCAGACTGTTAATAGGCCCCTTACTGGAGTGAAGAACCTACTTTTTTTTCCCCTCTTTTTCTTTTTTTTTTCTTGTTTTGTTGAAAATTGAACTCATTCTGAAGTATGCAGAATCTTCCTTTCCTGGGATGGCCAAGCACCTGCTGTGGAGACAATGTTCAGCACCATCCTGTTGAGAACACATTGTGTAGCCTTTACACTAGTTACTTGTCAATGAGTATGTGGTGTTTCAATATATTAATGGTTTATGGGATGTTTTAAGTTGGCTTTTCTCTTTGGAGGTTTTTCCTATCTTCCCGCCCTCCCCCCTACAGCCACCAGTTTGATTTCAGTAGCTTTTTAATCATTTTTGCTTTCTCTCCCTGGGGAATCTGAGGCACTGTGCACATGCATGGAAGTGACCGTAACCCAGCACTGCTCAGGTGTCAGGGTTTTCTGAAGATACAGCATTAGTTACTCCTGTCACCCGGCTGGATTCCAGAGAGGGGATGTGTGTGACCTGTTTGTTTGTTGGGTTGGTTGGTTGGTTGATTTCTTTCTTACTCTTTCTTTAAGTTTAATGGTACACCCCTGTTTTCCATAAGGGTCAACCCAGAGCTGGTTGCACACCAAGGGAAGCTGGTGAGTTTGCCTCTTGGCTCATGAGGATGGACTGACAGCAGATGCCATCGCCCTCGCATGCACTGAGGCAGGAGCCCCTTTCCTGCCTGCTGGAGCAGGTTCCCCTCCTGCCTTATGTTAGCAAAGCTGCCCTCACTGCCACAATGAGCTGGTGAGGAGCTATAGGCTGAGCTTCCACACAAGGTGGACATAGTCACCTGTAGAGATGTGTTTGAAAACACAGAAATTAAAGGAAATGTAGCGGCTGGGCATCGGCAGGTGACTCGCAGTGACAATGCCAGGAGCTGAGGCACAGATCACTGCAGAGTGTGTTATGGCGTTAGTGATCCTGTTTATTTTTGTTGTTGTTGTTTTGGACATATCCTTGATTATTTTTTCCTTCTCATTATGTATAATCCATTGTGGCAGAAGAAGCAGGAGTGGGAATGGCAAGGTGACAGTATCATACAAATGGCTTTTCATATGAGCATAGATTGTAGCAGGATAAATGACACTGAAAGACAAGGCAGTTTTATATATTTTGCTTCTAAGATTTTCTTTTGTAAAATGAATAATAATTAATAATAATAATGAATAAAATGTATGGTGCTGTATAGATCCTCTCTATAATCTGGAAAGATTGATTACTTTTTATTAGTATCTTGGGGGGGAGGGATACAAAAAAGAGGGGAAAACACCAGTGGTACATAGGAACTTGGTATGAAGAGGTTCTGAATGGGACAGTGTATACATAATTCTCCAAAGCGATATATTAAGTTTTTTTTTCCTTTGCATAAAAGCATTATGCATATAAATATATAAATATATTTTATTATGTACAGAAATGGATCATTATGCATGGATGTTAGGAAAACAAAACTAGCATTTTAACCCAAAGTCTCAGTGCATGAGTTCCCACCGACCCGTGTCCCATGCAATGTGGAGTGACTCCCTCTCGCCACTGCCACCGCACATGCACAGTCATGCACCGACACTCTCATGCATTCGTGGGCCCTTCCTCACTCCTTACTTTCCAGGTCCCTGAGGTGATTTTGGTGAAACAACAGCTCCTAGTGTGATGGAAGTTTTGGTTTTGTACCGTAGCCCCCATGCTGTTCTCTCATAAAGATGCACCTCTTGGTTTCTCCCCCCAGTTATGACTGTGTAGGCTCTGTTCAGTTGTGGTTAGCATAGCCCTGTAACATATCAACTCTTCCAAGCAACCAAGGGTTTATCATTTGCCTTTTAAAAAAACTTCTCTTTTCTTTTTACACTGAGGGGTTTTGTTTGTTAGCCTACAGCCTGGTTTATTGCATTCACTGGAGCTGGCTGGTGCACATTGCCCATGTCTATCAGCAGCTGGCTTCCCAGATGTTTGTGTGGCACAGCTGGGCACTCCGCTTACTCAAACCCAGTTGCAGGCACCTTTTACTGAAATTGGTCAAGAGTTCATCACTGGCCTCCTCTGAGTGTTAGCTCTTAACTTCCTGGTACACCCCAAAATGTGAGTGTATGCTGAAGGACTTCCCTCTGGTGTTTCTTTTGCTGAGGTGTCTCTGCAGCTGCTGCCCTGTGGCTGGACTTGTGCCCCAGCCCCACATTTTGGCTGTCAGCAGAGCTCCCTCGGTGGCTCCCCATGCTGAGGTGCAGCTTTTGATCCCTACACAGATGAGCCTCCAGTGAGACCCGTGGTGCTGCCCAAAGACAGATCACCATCACTGACAGATGAGTAAAGCCTGGCTTGATGGTATGGCCAAAGTGACCAAACCCCATAATTTTTTTTTCTTGGTACAGATTCAGTTCTTGTCAAAGGTAAGGAAAGGCCTGTTGAAAGCTTAAATGAAACAACTGCAAATTCTGCTCTGTTCCAGCACTTAGCCTGCTTGGGTTCAGAGGAATTGTTTTCCACTGGCAGAAATGAGAGACAAAACCATGGCCTGCTCTGTTCAGAAAATGGAGGAAAAACGCTTGGTTTAGAGACAGCCCATCAATGGCAGAGAAGTTTTTTTAAAAGAAATAATAATAGCATTAGTGGCTGAAAGGCTTAACTTGCCTCTCAGCAATGTCAAGGGGAGCATTTCCATTGGCATGGCTGGGACAGCTTGGGCCCCTGCTTTGGAGAACATCCCAGCACTCACTGAAGAGGGATGGACTTGGCCAGCCTCTTCAGTTTGGTTTGGTTTCTGTTGCTCAGTTTTGGGGCCAAAATTTTCAAGCAGAAGTGCCTGGTGTCAGGCACCAAACCCTGGGGACTCCAGCATGGTTGCAGGGGGCAAGCTGCTCTGCCCTCATGGCTTCTTGAAGGAAGGGGAGGTGACAGGTCCCCCCAGCCCCAGGGGAAGGTCATCTCCTCTACACCTGCTGAGGTGCCCAGCAAAGGCCCTTCACTCCAGAGGTGCTAAATAAATCTCCCTGAATTCAAAGGGCCAGTTATTTAGGTGTCAAAATTAAGCCTTGAGTAGCTAGTTTGGGGAACCTACTTTTTGAAAATTTGGCCTTTGAGTCTTTGAACATGTTTATGCCTAGAAGTTTTCCTTGTGAAATCATGTAAAACAGATGAGGTCACAATTACATGGGTATCTTCTGAACAAAACAAAAGGTCTAAACAAAAGGTCTAAACAAAAGGTGTTATTTATGCAGTTTCTAGTCACATTTTCTAAAAAAAAAAAATCCTCTTAAGAACAATCGGATAGTTAAACGATGCTTACCTCCAGAAATTTTTGTGCCATTGCTTTAAAAAGTTACCTTTTAGGTCATGTATTTCTCCAAAATTATATCATTGCTTGGCAATTGGTGTCCTGTAAGTGTTTCAAGTACACAGTATACCTTTGGAATTGCCAACAGATGCGAAGGGGGACCAGATACATTTCGTAACTATGGGTTGGAAAAAATGGATTGTACATTTGGCTTCACATGTTTAACTTTTTTTTAAAAAAGTTGCATGATTGGAAAAAATATGTATACAGTATCTGTAAAACTGTTTTATCTGTTTCTGTTTCAAGCCATGTAAATTGGAAGAATATTAAATCCACAGCCTTATCGCGCATGGCCGTCTTTACATACCGAAGAGCTGAACAGTTTATACTTTTCATTTGGGCTATCTTGTACTTTCATTTGAAAGCAGACACTCTCACGTTGCAGTCTTACTGAGGATTTTATATTTAAAAAGAAAAGAAAAAAACCACAAAAAAAAAAGAAAAAAGATGCTGCCCTGGAGGAATATATTACCTTACTACTCAGAGGTTGGAAGGAAGTTTGTTTTGGAGCAAAACCTGCCCCTTTCCAAATGAAGTAGAGACGCAGTGCTTACTCCACTTGGTGTTAGTAGATATTGCCTTGTGTATTCCATTTTAAATTGTAATCTAGTTTGTAAAAGAGATGGTGACGCATGTAAATAAAGCATAATGGATCTCTACATTGCACATTTGCCTTTGCTCTGTTTTATTGTGTCATAGACAGACATGTAAACACAGGACCTGGGGAAGGGGTGACTTTCAAGCAGCAAGTGAAAATGGCCTGGGGGGGGATTGGGGCTGGGGAGGAGTCCCCAGCCTGCATCCACTAATATCTGTCAATGCATATTGACATGGGCCTCGGCCCCTCAACCCTTCAGCCAAGCCAGTGTAGTTTTGGTGGTCAAATAACCCCCAGGGGGATCATTTACTGCTGCTGAAAAATCACAAAGTTCACTTGAATCTGGGGACAGAGAGGGGTTATCCCCAGGGGTGGCAGCTGCACTCTGCAGCTGCAGATCAGCTTGCCTGACCTGGGAGAGAACCAGTCCAGCTGCAGACCTGTTGGGAGAAGGGTTACACCCCTGCCATGGGCTTGGCTGCGTTTCAGACTGTCTTTGAAAAATGCCTGGAGTACTTGAAACCACCCGTTTGGGATTTGGGATAATAAAACCAGCAGCCTGACTAAGCAGAAAGTTATACTGAGGGCTCTGGCTGAGGCACTGGAGAGCGTGCTCAGAAATGAGAGACGTGTCAATAAAAAAACTTTTCTCCCACCCTTATGGGAAGCCAGAGATGTATCTGGTTTTTTTGAGTCTTTTTTTGGGAGGAAATTATATTTTCAAGAAAGAGGAGCCTTTCCTCACAGAAGGGAGGAGATTTTCATAACTCCAGGGGGACAAACCACCATGTGCAGAGCCCAAGGAACACTACACTGAAGTACTGCAGCAATAAAGAGCAGCTCGGGGATATCCCTTGGTAAACATAGCAAGGGCTGTTCGGGTTCTGTTCTTACTAGAGATAGCCTGAAACATGACAAGATCCAGACAGAATAAATAGCCTTTGACCAGGAGAAAGTGTGCATTAAACTTCCCAGAGTGAGAGTGCACTTGTCCTGCAGCAACTACGGCTTCCCCTCACCAACAAAGCTTCTTTTGCTGATTTTTTCAGTCGGCTTCTCCAACAAGGCTCTGCCAGGGAAGGACCTGTGTCCTCTGCCTTGGCATCACTCCACTGATATTTGGGACAAACTATTGTGGTGTTTGGCCCAGTGAGGTGCCATGTCAAAGAGACTCAGCTTTAACCTGAATTTAGGCCAGGGAGGCCGCAGCAATGAAGATGATCTGGTGAGATCCTGATCGAGTCTTGAGTTGAACCTACTTGGATCTGTTGTGCAATGCCTCAGCTGTGACCTTCAGTTCACCTGGCCTTGGAATAGATCATTCTTATCTTTCACAGTACTTTCAAAATAAGTCCAAACATTTTAAAACTTCTCCAAGTTGTCCCAGAAGGCAAAAAACTTTTCAAGTTGCTGCTGAGGCTGGTGAGGCAACAGAGAGCTATTTTAGGAGCTCCCCACAACATATGCTGAGTTGTGAGTTCAGCCAGACCAAGGAAAACAGTATTTTACAGCTCTTGTTTGGTTACTGCTGCCAAGGAAGTTAGGGGTGCTTTCAAGAAGGCTGAGATAAGTAGATCTGAGAGGCTACCTCTTTTACTGGTTGGAGTCATCATGACTGGAATCTCTCCCTTCAAAAGGAAGTCTTCCTGGATGAAGTGGAGCCCAAGACAGATGGAGTAGATACTGCTCTTGCTGGTACACACGTTCATCCTACTGCCAGCCCTTCTGCACTGTCTCATGGCATCTCTGTTTGCTCAACCCAGCCCACAAAAGCTTTTTTTTCCCACTGGCTCTGCCTGTGGATTTTTTTTAAATGGAAATGTATTTATCACATAAGTACAAAGCACAGAAAATTCCACTTGAGCAACAACAACAAAAAGTAAGGGTTTTTTTTTAACTGATTTAAATCTTTGAGAGAAACTTTGGAATTGTCTGACAAAATTCAGAATCTACAAATTGAAATTTTTATTTTTGCACCTGGATTTTCTTTGCATACACATGACATGAGCAGTTTTGCATATGTCAAAACATTTACTTGCTAGAACAAAGCATCTCCTGCTTTTATTTTTTGATGGTTTGATGATATACCAAGGACCTGATTTTATCTAGAAAATGAGACATAATGTCCCAATTCAGTAGGAACAACTGGCCTAAATGAGGTTAACTGTTGTAACATTCTTTTAATGTTACATTATGCCATACAGATTTAAAGATGCCTATATTCTATGAGTGACATGGTGAAAGGGGGAAAAACTGTAAAAATACATGACATC